TCTAGCTGTCGAAACGTTGGGTCGTAAGCAGCACCGGTAATTGACAAATGGAGGACGGACGGTGAAGGCGATCGGCGAACTGGAGGAGGATCGGCGAAGAGTCGGCGAAGAATGGCAGGCGGGATGAAACGAGATGAGGGGGCACCTACGGATGGTGGACAGAGCGACGAACCTACGACTTCGCAATGAAGGTCCAAGACCAACTAGTCTACTAACAACGTGAACTGGTGTGGCTTGTTCTGTTCTGGTGTGTCCTTGTCACTGGTGCTCAAAATGGAATTCTGAGGAGTAACGAGAGGTATTGAATGTGAATATGAATGAAATATTACTTCCGCACAACTGCTTCTTGCCTAAAAATATCTAGAAATTTCGACAGCTATGCAATATCGCGTACAGCGAAGCTACTGCTGGCCTTCCGCGCTCCGTTGTGCTGCGCTGTCCCGCAGATGGTGGACGGTGGAGATATTGATTCTGACACGTTTGCCGAACCAGACGCGCGTGCCTCGCCCCTTCAAACCGGTTCGCGGTTTTGAATATGTCGCGGTCATTTTCGGTGCGCCGCAGTCTATTACGGTTCAGAAGCATGGAATGCGAAAAAAACCACTGCTGGTAATGTCTTTAGACCGTTCATAAAGATATCATATCCCTGAACATATCTACTCAGAAAGGTGAATCTTGATGAGAACATTTCCAGGTGAGGCACTGCTTGTGGCCAGCTTCATATCACCACCATTTCGTCTTCATGCTTACGACATAATGAATAAGCGAATTTGCATTAAGCCAGGCACAAAACACCCAAGCTACATGTACACTTGATTGATGAGATGGCCTACGGACAAGATGGTCGCGCAATGCAGCTGAGCAGGCTTCATGCAAAAGGTTCTTGGTGCTGCTTGTATTGAGGCGGCTTCCATTTGACATTAGGAAAATCAACTTGAAAGTCTTTACTTGGTGGCGGACCTGGAAGAAACAAAGGGATGGATGTAACATATTGAGAAAGACAGTGGCAATAGCATAAATCACAAAGCGATTTTTCACACTGGACCTTGGTACAGGATTTGCAGATCATAATCAAATGCCTCCTACAAGCGGTTGATTTGTTAAAATCACCTTTGTTACAGGCAGCATTCTCACCTCAAATTGTGCAGAGCAGTGGCCACCATGGCCTGGGGATGAGTGCCCAGCTTATTTTCTGACACACTGACTCTCGTTACAGTCACGCCTACATAGGCGCTTACACTCATTAACATGTCTCACCTCATCTTGCGCAGAGCAGTCTGCATCTCCTCGCGCTTCACCTTGGCGCGGCGGTGGGTGCCCAGCTTCCGCTTTGCCAGCTTCAGAGCGCGCTTGTCCTTGCCGACCTGTGTGGGGGGGAAAGGGGACGCGGGGGGGAAGGGGGGTGGGGGGGAGGGAAGCGGGAGGGGGAAGGGGGTTGAGCGCGGGGGGGGGGGGGGGGGGGGGCGTTTTAAGCTTGACTCAGAAATCACATTGGCGCGGCGGTACGTGCCCAGCTTCCGCTTCGCCCGCTTCAATGTAACGACCTTACCGACTTGCGCGGGGGGGGGGAAGTGTTGGGGAGAGGGGGAAGTGTTAGTGGGGTGGGCGGGAAAACAGAGGATGGGTGGGAGAAAGAGAGGTTGTGGGTGAGAAAAAGGGTGGGCGGGGAGAGGGGGGGTGCGGATGGGGAGCGGACGGAGGGAAGGGGGGGAAGATGGCGGGGGCGGAGGGAAGAGAAGAGCGTTAAAGGAAGGTTGGGTGAGGGGGCGTGCACAGTAATCCGGGTAAACGGGAACGACTCGGCGGCCAAAACACCAAGAATCATTAACCAACGACGCTGAGAGCTTTTCGACCACCTTGGCAGAGGATGGGCGACGGCTATCATACGGGAAACAACAATGCCGAAGAAACGCAGGCCCAAGGAATACCCGGCTGCCTAGTCATGAAGTTTAGCACAGACGAAAGGACGTACATCCGCCTGATTAGGCTATGCGAAGCACGGCGTTGAAACTGACAAGCTGCACAATGTGTAGATAGTCCGGCTTTCGTCAATCCCAACCCATACCCTGATTCTACGCATGCCTGCCTTGCCGCCTGACACTTGCGACTCGACAACTTCGCAGTGATTCGGCTTCGGCTTAGGAAACGCCTAAACCTAACGAGTATGTCCTACGTCCTCCACGTACCCCTGCAGCAAAACCGAGAACCAATCAACGTGCATTTTGACTCGACTCAAAAGTCACTTCGGCTTTGGGGGAGCAGCTGTCTGAACCTAACGAGTCGGGCCTACGTCATCCACGAACTGCTGCAGCAAAACCGAGAACCAATCAAGGCGCCGACGAATATCCTGGTAACTGAGAGGCATGACCGTTGAAAGTGTCTCTAAGAAACCTGAGATCACCGCGACAGCTGCGACAAATCGTTGCAACGCCAATACAGGCTTTGCTGATGGCCTACGTAGTCACCTATTTCAACCGCTCCCGGCACCGCATTACACCGCTCCTCAGACCGCCGCTTCCGCTTTCCAAGCTACTGTCGACGGCTACACTGCCGGATCGAAGCCCGGGAATCAAAATGTGCTTGTAGTCTAGCGGAAATGAACGCATAAAGGATGGATTCAAAGTGGAATGGACAATAACACTGCTCAGGTGCAATATATAGCAGTAATAGTTAATCGATATGGCCATACCTTGAGCAGTTCCATGATCCGCTTCTCATAAGGAGAGAAGCCCGCAGCAAGGTGCAATGTTGCAATAACACTGCTCAGTTGCAATAATACCTGAATACCCCTTGTAATCGAAAAAAATAATCAAGATGGCCGTACCTTGAGCAGCTCCATGATTCGCTTCTCATAGGGAGAGAAGCCCGCAACCTCGCGAATCAGACCGCGGACGAAGGCTCCGCGCTTCGACTGCAAAACAACATTGCGAGCGAAACACGACGAAGGGACCCACAGGATTACGATCAGCAGCACTTCTAGACGCTAAACCCGTTCCCCCTACGGTCTTCAGTTATCAAGTTAACCTCATAACGTCGGTTGATGTGCTACAATATTTGAAAACCATTGTTGAACTAAGGCATAGCCGTATCGCACGAAAGCCAAGTCCGGAGCTGCTGAGATAACGACGTATCGCATGAACGTACCGCCCGTGTCTTGGGCTTCGAGATCTCCCTCTTGGTCACGACGTGACCCTTGTTGAGGCCTACTGCGATTCCAGTCATGGTGGCCGCGGAAAAGCTAAGGGAGGAGAAACGAACTAAGGACGTTTCCACTAAGGGTCAGGAAAAGGAAGCAGACAGAGAGAGAGAAACCCTAAAGAGCATCTCGCAGAGGAGTTAGCTGCAGGGAGGTGGAGAAACAGGTACAGAGATGTGTACAGGTTTCGTTAGATCTTTACACAAGAACAGAAACACTCTGTAGACGAAGGAGATTGTTATAGCGAGGATTAGAATGCAGGGGTGGTGTGATGGTGTGGTGGGTTGCAGAAACACGTTTTGGGGCTTTGTGGTTCTCAAGAGAGTGGGGAAATATTGTAAGGAGCGACCTGGTGCATATAAACCCGTCATTTGTCAATTCTGGTGTAGAGAAATATATAAACACGTATTACACTTCACGAATTCGGAGTCGCCTAACGTCTGGCGATTTATTCCATGTCTGATAGCAAAGCGACAAACAGAATGAGACAAAGACAACGCGGCGCGACAATTCTCACACCCCCCAAGGAAGGAGCACAGCACTGCAAGAAGCGGGGAAACTCGAGTCGCGGCTGTCCTTTTCGCACACATCGCCCCCCAACCCAGCCCCTGACCCTCCCTCCCACCCAAGCACCGTCATCAGTGGCTTCCTCCGAAGCTACCGAATCGCGGTTTGGACGGTGGTTTGGGGGAAGCAGAGGAGCCAGCTGGTTCAAAATCGGTACATATTCGGCGCCCTCTCTTCATAACCGACCATCAAACTCTCACTCAATCCAAACATTGCTCTGAACCAGCAACCAGCATTCGACGACGCTTCTATCTACCTCAATCTCAAGTTCAAGTCTGCATCATTCGACATTTAGAGTAATTTAGTCGACTACTTTTCCCAAACTACCTGAAGAGCTTTCTTCCGTTCAACTCTGAGCCCTTCTAGCTAGCACCGCAGCTTCCGCGGTAATACCACTCGTAACAGTATGGCTAGCAAGTCAAAGATCGACCTTACACCATCCAGCGTGCTCTCTAGCAGATACACGCTCGGGGAATTCCTAGGCGAGGGTCAGTACGGTACAGTGTGGCGCTGCGAGGAGCGCGCGACGGGCGAGCATTTCGCTCTTAAGTACATCGACCTCACCAAGTGCAGCAGCAGGGCCCGCCTCGCAGCTCTCGGCGAAGTCGAAATCCTCCAAAAGATACGCGATTCTGGCTTCTCCGATAGTGTCGTATCACTCAAGGACGTATACGGGGACAAAGATTCACTTTATCTTGTAATGGAACTGTGCACTGGCGGGGATCTTCTCGAGCTCATCCAGAAGCGGCCCGGCGCGCTACTTAGCGAGGCGGAATCGCGCCACGTGTTCACCTCCGTAGCGCGCGCCGTGAAGCAGTGCCACGCCAGCAGCATTGTCCACCGCGACATTAAACCCGAGAACATTCTCCTCTGCCCGATTCAGAAAGCCAACGCCTCCAGCGCCGCCGCCGTCGCCGCCGCCAGTGACGACGTGTCGTTTGCTTACACCGCGAAGCTCGCAGATTTCGGGCTCGCTGTGGACGTGCCGTGGTGGCAGCAGATTCGCGGGTATGCCGGCAGCAAGCCGTATGAGGCTCCCGAGGTGATGGCGGGGGTTGCGTACGACGAATCCGCGGATATCTGGAGCCTTGGAGTGACTCTCTACGCGATGCTTTCGGGAAAGTGGCCGCTGTTCAGGGGCGGGAAGCGGGTCCTCGACGAGAAGGTGGATTTCGCATCGAACGACTGGAAGAAGGTGTCGGGTGATGCGAAAGATCTCATCCGTCGGATGTTACGCGTGGATGTGAACGAACGGTTCACAATTGACGAGGTTCTGGCGCATCCGTGGGTACGTCCAGCAGTAGCAGCAGCGGCTCAGGAAGTGATGGAGACCGTCGATCTGTCGGAGAAACGAACGGCTGCTGTTGTTTCGCACACCGACGCTCAGATCACCCCGGGAATCGCGGAAGCTGATTCTGAAAGCACCGCTACCAGCGCCGCGATTTTCGCGTCTGAAGCCAAGTCTACCGTTAGCACTGTTTTCAAGACAAACGCCACCACCCATGTTCCCGATACAAAACGATTCGACACGGCGGGAAGCATGTCTTTGGCGAGCGCAACCAACAGCACCGACAGTGATTGCGGGAGCAACGCGGAGAAGCCGCGCTGGGCCGGAAAGCTGTCTCCCCGCACCGTTCTACACCGCGTCATGAAAGCCTTCTCTCCTCTCACTCGTCAAAAGGAGGCGTCTTCCATCCCCATCGAAGTTCTCTGAGCATCTCCGTTTGTAGGATACCCTGCAAGAGAGACCCTGCCTCCAGGTGTAGGACTTGACCCTTTCTTTCCCCCTTATTAGGACAACAGGAAGAGTTGCTGTGGTGCCCGGAGATCATAGGGTACGATCCCGAGCACCCTAGCAACTTATTCCTTGCATTTGTAATGTTCATGAGTCTCCTTTGAAATCATAACTGATTTCCTTTGTAAGAAGAACTATTGTTTGCAACATTAAATTGGACTCTCGGAAATTGCCCTAAAAGTTTCATCTTCCTAGGGAGCTGCGATGGATGGAGCTCTCCTGTGATCCCATCTCTCTGCTGCAAGGCCTTCCATCACCTCACCACCACCAGTACAGCCGCCCACATGAACCGTTTCACAAAGCTAGACACCGTTCTGAAACGATTCTCACCTTATCCTGTCACGGACGTGACCCAGAGTGTTGAGCGACCAAAGATAGCACAATCAAGGCAAAAGAGAACAATGTGAGCGAAGTCGTAAGCGATCAATATTGCCTAGCAATACGTTGGTACTGATGACGCGCGTGTAAGGTAGGGTGCTCTTTAGGCAATTTGGCACCAGCTCATTAGTAGAGAATGATATGCTACATTCTACATTTGATAAATACCTACACTACACCCAGCTTCATATTGGAAGTGTCACTCCCTTCACGTTGAAAGTGTCGCCCCTTTCCTAAACAAATCATTCTAAAGCACCATACATTAGCGAATAATACATTTAACTGCTGCAGCTGTAACCTCGATGTGAGGCGCCTCGAGAGCATTTTCGCAATAGCATGCTGCCACGTCCGCGTCCCCATGTTACAACTTGATTTTAGTCCTGTAGACGCTACTCGCCGTCCAATACGGGGGAATCGCGTTTCGCACTATAACGGGTTTCGGTTCAGCGCGGGGCCAGATGCGAAACGACAGCGGTTTGCCGGTTAACGGCTGGCCGACAAGTTCGAAGACGGTGCCGAAGCTTCGCTTCATCATGAACCACGGCCCTCCGCCAACCGACAGATCCATCCGCTTGATGTCCCCCGATCCGCCCACATTGAGCGGAAGGACTGGCGGAAGGGGGAATCACGGGGAAGGGAGCGTGCACAGATAGTTGTAGGTGGGGTAGCGGAGTAAGAAATCCGCTCACGCGAGCGCAGGAGCTGGCGGAGGGGGAACTGACTGGGGGAGAAAGGGGAACGGATCAGAGAGCTGCAATGCAGGGGGGAAGAGCTGTAGGCGGGTTTAGGAGAGGAAATAGGGGGCCTCTGTCCGCCAAATTTTCCCGTCAAATGTCCCCCTGTCCCCCAAGTTACGCGGAAGAGCTGGGGAAGGGGGAGCAAATGTTACATCTCACGTTCATGCATGAGTAGTGATAACTGTCGCCTAAAAGTAAACCGCCGCATTATCATCCCATATTCGCATATGAGATGTAGCAACCATCGCCTGTAACATTTAACATAAAGCCATCTCGTTACCATTCCAAACCATCGCCTGTTACACTAGAGATTGACGCCGCAGCATCATATTCGTACCTGAGATATAGAACCCATCGCCGGTGACGTTGAACATAACGCCACCGCCGCTCGGACAACGCACGCGCGACACCTCCACCGGAACCACCCCCACGGACGGATTATGCGCGATTTGCGCCCACACGTCGCTCGATAGAGTCACACTCAGCTTCCCATCATCGCACCACCCGCCGTACGACGCCGCGGGGCAGAGGTTTGTGATTTTAACGGTGGGGGAGACCGTTCCGGGGATGCATTGGGGGCTGTTGACGCACCGCACTCGTATGCACGCGCCGCATGCTTGGCCTCGCGCGTAGATTGGTGCGGAAATAGACGCGGTATAACCGGGCGCGATACCGTATCCGCACGAGCCGTACTGGCTGTTCTGATTGGCGTAGTAGGTAGCCGTGAAGCCCTTAACCCACTTGTTGTATTGCGCGGAAGCCACTAACGCGAACGAGAGAACGCAGAGAGAGAATAGGAGGAGAGACAACCTGGTGGGCGCGCCCATAGTTTTGAACTGAGGAGTCTGAATACGTGGAACAATAGTGCTTCAAATGCACTTTGATGGAAGCGTGGCAAATCAGGAGTTATCGCGTAGCAATGGTATGACGAGATGCTACTGCTAGCCTGGTTCGAGCACTTGAAAGCGAGGGAAGTAGCACTAGGGTGAAAAACAGCAGGACTACAAGCTAGGCTGAGAAGCCAGCTTTGAAGAGCTGATTGACTCACTCGCAACGCAAGGGTGGAATGGAAATGTAGCGGCGGTGGTCGTAAGTCTCTGGCTGTGCTGAGTCACAAGCGGTGGTTTGGGTGCCGTGATGTGAATTGTCGTGTGCACGCAATCTGCTTGCTGGCAAGCGGGGGGAAGTTGGAAGAATCAGGAGCCGTGAAGTCCGTCGAGCGCACAGGTGTAAAATTCCATCGTGCCACGAAACCAATCCCTCACCCACGGTCTCTGCGCACATTTGCGCACGAAATTGGAAAAGTGCGGCTCGACGAGTGAATGTGAACATATCTGCATCGTTTGTGACAAACTCGCATTTGTAAAACATACGAGTGCATTTCAGAGACATATCAGATAACTTTAGAATCATGAATAAATTTTGATGTACACTCATTGCTTCCAAGCATTGCGATATCCAACACGTAGCTCTTTCTAAATTTAACACATAATAACCACGGACCCCTGATTTTGTTGAGTCATCATCTAGCACATCATCAGGGAGTCAGGGGCCCTTCACAGTCTTAGAAACTTAGGCATGAGTGACTTGCAATGTCGAGAGATTTGGTACAAGGAAGAAACCTAAGGGGTTGTACCCCACAGTATCTACCCCACTACAGCCTACCCAAACTATAACACATATATATGTTCGACACACCCCCATAGGGAAAGTGGGGGAGAGCAAGAGGCCACAAGACCAGTCAAGAAAAGCAAAGCAAGCTCAGGGTGGATTACAACGTTACCACACACACTGAGCACAAGCAAAAAGGCCACAAGGCCAGTTCACATGCAGAGGTATATATGCAACAAGAATAGTACACGGATCTCTACCTAGCAAGAGCAAGCATACAGGTATATACATATAGATCACAGTACAAGCAGAGTCTACAGCAAGTGTGGAAACGTAGGCACAAGGCCCAAGAAAGTACAAAAGCACTGATGATCACCAGACGGAAGTGCCTTGGTGAATATATTAGCAGTGTTGGCCCAAGTGGCCACGTGAACAAGACGAAGCTGACCCCGCTGCTGCAACTCTCGAGCCAAGAAGTAACGCAGAGCGATGTGCTTTGTTCTGTGCTCCAGTCTGTGCTCCTGACACAGGGCAATGGCTGCCTTTTTGTCGATGTACAGAACTGGAGGAGAACGAGCCCTCTCTCCCAAGTCGGTCAGCGGGTAGGTGAGCCAGCGTAACTCCTGTGCAGTCATGGCTGTGGCGTAGATCTCAGCCTCACAACTGGAGCCGAGAACAGAAGACGAGCGCGTAGACCGCCAAGAAACAGAGTCAGAGCCAAGATTGAAGGTGAAACCCTGTGACGACCGCTGCGTAGCCTGGTCGTCAACCCAAGAAGCGTTCGAGTGCCCAGTGAGGACAACGTCGCTCCGTCCTCCAAGCACGAGCCCCATGCCCGATGTACTGCACAAGTAGCGCAGAACCCTCTTAGCAGCATCCATGTGCACCTTTCGTGCCGACCAGGAGCCACGTAGCGAGCCAGAAGGCCAAGAGGGTACGCGAGGTCAGGACGAGTGTAGGTCATCAGGTACATGAGGCAGCCAACTAGCTCTGGGTAAGGACCACTCGGCTCTACGGACTCGTCCGAAGGTGGAGCTGAGAGCGAGTGGCCTGTAGCCAGAGGAGTGGCCTGTGCCGAGGACCAGGTGAAGCCGAAGCGCTGAAGGACCTGCTGCACCATGTGTGACTGAGTCAGTGTGATGGTGCGGCGTGCTCTGTCCCGGGTGATCTGCAAGCCAAGGTAACTGCGCAGCTCACCCAGATCTGTGCACGTGTGTCTCTTCTGCAGCTCCGACTTCACCAGGGCAAGAGCCTCAGTGTCAGCAGTGGCAAAGAACAAGTCGTCGACGTACACGAGGATGTAGAACGGCGGCAGCGAAGTGTCGGTGCGCAGAAACAGCGACGGGTCAGCAGTCGAAGGAGCAAACCCAAGAGCCACAAGTGTCGTCCTCAGTGTGTCGTGCCACTCACGTGGCGCCTGGCGGAGACCGTAGACCGGCCGCCGGAGGCTCCACTGGGTACCAGGAGGAAACGACCCAGTGAAGCCAGGTGGGCGGCGCAGCCAGATCTCCTCGTGCAGGCTGCCCTGTAAAAAAGCTGTGCTTAAGTCAAGCGAGTGAAGCTCGTAATCACGCTGAGCGGCAACGTGTAGCAGCACCCGAAGAGTGGTCATATTCGGGGTGGGGGAGAAAGTCTGGAAGAAGTCAACTCCCTCCCGCTGACTGAAGCCTCGAGCAACGTAACGAGCCTTGAAGACAGGCGGAGAACCTGGCGGCCGCATCACCCTGAAAATCCACATGCCGTCGACGATGTTCGCCCCAGGAGGGGGAACCTCGTCGACGTACGTGCCTGTGGACTTCCAGGATGCCATCTCTGCATCCATGGCTGTCTGCCACTGAGAGGAGTACTCAGCCGCGATCGCCTCAGCGTAAGAGCGCGGGGTCGGGATGTCTGGTGCATCCGGGTCTCCCTCAGGGGCAAGCAGCATGGCCACGAGATGAGGCGCAGCGGCCGCAAGACACTCAAGGTCCTCGTGCCTGTCCTCAAGGACGTCCGTGCCAAGAGCACACTCACCCCCGACGGACGGAGGACAGACAGACTCAGACTCAGCAACAAGACTAGCGGCGTAGTCTGGACGACATGCAGCAGCAAAGTCAACCAGCTCAGCTACAAAGGCAGACGCAGCAGCAGACTCAAACGACGGGTCAGTGACAAGAGTGGCTATGTGAGGATCTAGGATCGAGCTCAGAAAAGAGAGTTTGAATTGAATGATCACCTGGGTACAACACGAGGCTATATATAGGCTCGACACAAGGCCTAGTAACCAGGTGTTACGCGAAGGTTCCGCGGGTCGCGAAGCGTCCCGAACAGATCCTTCCCGAATTCGGTAGAAGGCAATTCGGTGGCAACCGAAAAGCCAGAATTCGGTGCACGCAACCTAGCTCGGTGCCATAACTATAATAAAATATAGGAAAGCACCTAGCCTAGGAAATCAAGCAATTCATGCATGCATATAATTATCATATGCTAGAAATAGCATGATAAAGTAAAGGCAAGCAAGCATAGCTGGCATAAGCTGTCGTACTCTCACACGTCCCCCCCTCAAAGCTGGGTGGCGTGAGATACTCCCTGCTTGACAAGATATTCCTTGAGAGCACGGCGTGCGTTGCCCATATCAGCTTCTGCAACCCAACTGTCCTCAGTGGGGTCGTATCCCATCCAGCATATCAGGAAGTCGAGGGTCTTGCCACCGCGGCGCCGATGAGTGAGAACGCGCTCCACTTCGTACTCGGGTTCATCCTGCACCAGAACAGGTGGTGGTGGCGGTAACTGCCATCCCTGGAACTATTGGTTGGGGTCCTTGTAGGGCTTCAGTAGCTGGACATGGAAAGCATTGTGAAGCTTCCATGTATCTGGTAAGCGCAAGCGGAATGTAACCGGTGTCACCTGTGCCTCAACGGGAAAAGGACCACAGAAGCGAGGCCGGAGTTTGGATGGGAGGTGAGACGGGTTCAAGTTGCGCGTGTCAAGAAGCACCTGATCTCTGACTGCTACTGAGTGATCACGTCGCTGACGATCGGCATATTGCTTCTGGGAGGTCTGCATCGTGGTGAGTCGTCGCTGAGTCTTCTCCCATAGCTGCTGCATGGTGGTGACGAAGTCATGTGCGGCTTGGACGTGTGCCGGTGTGGTTGGCTGCTGTGGTGTGAGTGGTTCCCGTCTGTAACACAGGAAGAAATGAGTTTTCCCTGTGGCCGCATGTGATGCGTTGTTGTAAGCGAACTCTAGGGTCGGTAACTGTGTGTCCCAGTGGCTGACGTCGTCTTTGCAAGCTGTGCGTAGTAACTGTTCAACCACCTGATTGAGTCGCTCTGTCTGTCCGTCAGTCTGTGGGTGGTATGCTGAGGACATTGCAAGTTTGGTCCCCAATAATCCCATGAGCTCCTTCCAGAACTTACTCGTAAATTTGGGGTCTCTGTCTGATATGAGTGTAGCGGGGATGCCGTGGATGGTGATGATGCGGTCAAAGAAGAGGCGAGCAGTTGCTTCAGTTGTAGCTGTGGTGTTGGTCGGTATGAAGTGACCCATTTTGGGGAACTTATCGATCACTACGAGGATGGAATCGTGTCCCCGTGAGGTCGAAGGAAGTCCTGTGATGAAGTCGAGGCTAACGACCTGCCATGGCTGCCCCGGTACGGGTAGAGGCTGAAGTAACCCTGCTTTTTTCTGCTTGCTACTCTTCATCCGCTGGCACGTGTCGCATGAGGTGACGAACTGCTGCACGTCTGCTGCCATCCCGGGCCAGTAAAAATACTTTGCTATCCCTGCTAACGTCTTGTTGCTCCCGAAATGTCCCGCGTAAGGTACGTCGTGAAACTCCTCCAATAGGATCTGCCGTAGCGGGACGTAATTCGGTACCCAAATCTTTCCTGAACCCTTCCTTACAGCTAAGTCTTTCTCCCACTGTAATAACTTCTTGGTCTGTGCTGTAGCGATCTCTGCGTCCACGGAGTACCCATGTTGGAATAGACCCTTGAGCAGAGGGTTCATCCCGTCGAGCTGGATGCCTGCTATATGACCGGGGCGGCTCAACGCGTATGCTTTGTTGTGTAGCCCGGGCTTCTAGATGATGTCGTAGTGGAAGTGAGTTTCCAGGAAGTCCACCCACCGCACCTGTCGTCGAGAGAGCGTCGGCTGCGACTTCAGGTATTTGAGACTGTAGTGGTCAGTATAGACTGTAGTCTTGACTCCTTCTAGGTAACACCTCCACGCCTTG